TCATAATAAGGTAATGGCCAACATAAACTGAGTATGTAGAATGTTCTAATAATAGTTTCCAGTAAAATCAATCTTCAGAATAAGATTCTAAAATAGGTACTATTATTATTTCAATTTTATGGATAAGGAAATAAGCATAAAAATGAAAGCAGTATCTTAGCCCCCTTGAGCAGCTATAATAAAATACCATAGATTGAATGGCTTATAAACAATAGAAACTTACTTTGCACCATTCTGAGGGATGGAAGTCTTAAGATTTTGGGGTGCCAGCAGAGTTAGTGTCTGGTTGAGTGACTTGTTCATGAGTGACAAGTTCTCTATGTGTCTTCTCATGGGAGCAGGGTCAAACTAGTTCACTTGGGCCTCTCTTATAAGACTATAACAAGGCAAAGTATACACCAATTACTTTTTCTTTTTTTTTTAATCAAATTAAATCAAGATTGTATTGTGTACACAAAAGCTGGCCAGGACTGTCTCTTACAAGATTCCCTGCTAGAGATCATCCCCCTGATCTTCAGGAAAACATTTTTACAGCACAAAAAGTTACAAAGGAGATGGGTGTCTAAGGTACTTACAGCTAACAGGATTTTGACAATCATAATACAAAGGCAAATAGCAGGTTAAGGATCTATGTGGCTAACATTTCAAGGTGGAAAATAAATTCAGCTCCAGACCTTAAAATTTATAAATTGCCACTGAGATTTAGAGAGAATTGTTATTTGGTCAGCAGGAGCCAGAATTTATGAGGCACCAGTAAGGTTTTAGAGAGGGTTGTTATCTGGTAAGGGATAGCCAGGCATAGGTGAATTCAAAACACAGGTAGAAATTACAAGCAAGTTTAAAACATCAAAATATTGTCAGGCCATAGAGAAATTTTAGTTTTCTTACACAAAACAGAAATAAACTTTTTACCTCTAAAAGCTCTAAGAGAAGATTTTATTTATTTTTGTATTTTCTTATATCTAATGGCTTCTGTCATTCCTTTGTTTTTGACCATAAATGCTTCTCTTCTGTGTTTATGGGTCTTCCAAAACAAAAAAAAATATAGATAAGCCCTTCTCATACGGAAGATTTTTCAAACATAGCAAGTAACTACCCTTTAACCCACAGGGTCTGACAACCATAGGATATGAAAGATGCTCCAATATGCTTGTTCTTCCAACCATTGTTTGCAAAGATTGACAAAAGTCAATTCATTGCACAGAATGAGTGAGGTGAGTCTCTGCTCTGCAGTCCAGAACAGGATGTAAAAAAGCCCCCAAAGTGAATTTAAGACAGGGCTTTACATGACATAGCTGACAAAATCCTCTGTTTGTATATAAAGTATGTTCACATCAATTCCTGTCTTCATATATGTACTTTTAGATAGAAAGTATATCAGAAAATGCCTTCCAGCTGCAAAGCATCCAATTAGTCCATCCCTTCAGAAGCTACACACTTAAAATTCAAACTGGTCCCATTTCCTGGATCTCAGGGTTCTCAGCATTCTCCCTGTGGTTTGTTTTCAGATTCTGCATAGCACAGACACCTGGGCTCCGGATCCAGGACAGAAGCCTACAAAATCTACTTTTTCTTTTTTCATATTTCTTCCCATAAAGTGACTATAGCATAGCCTAGTGCAAAATACCTTCACTAAACCTTGGCAATTTCTACTGTCTTGCTGAAATCTAAGTTTTGAACACTTCTTCCCAATCAAGAGAAAATTTTGCTTAGTTTTCATTGGTGCTGTTCATGTCAGCAAAAGGGCCCTTATCAGTACCTATAAGGTATATAAAGAAAGTGTTTTGATTATGAATTATGGAATTACTTATCATATCTTTATGATTATAGAATTATTAGTCATTTCCGTACCATCATATTCTATGCACAAAGTGTAGCTAAAGTTTGAATATGTTAAATTCTAACTTCTTAAGATGATGGTTATAAGAGGTGGGATTTTGGGGGGAGCTAAGCCTTCATGAATAGGACTAATACCCTTATAAAAAGAGGCACCAGGGAACACACTTATCCCTTCCACCAGGTGAGAACACAATGAGATTGCACCAGCTAGACACTAGAAGAGAACAGAAATATGCAGGAATCTTAGTCTTAGACTTCTAGCTTCCAGAACTGAAAAATAAATTTCCAGTTTTTATAAGCCACCCAGTCTATGGGTTTTTGTTACAGCAGCTTGAAGAAACTAAGAAAATGGACCTGAGTCATGATCTCTTTCTCCTCATCACTTACCCCTTTACCAAAACATGAGCCACATTAGGTGGCAAATCAAGACTCTTCTGATTATAATTTATTACCAAAATACTATATTCCTCAAAAACTCTTCTTAATTTTTCCTTATTGCTTTATCCTTTGGGAAGCAAAAGAATCAATTAAATAAATTAACTACCTCTTTTTATATTAGAATGTATAGAATTAAAAATGAGCTGGGCATGGTAGTGTATGTCTGAGCTACTCCAGAAGCAGAGGCAGGAAGACTGCAAGTTCCAGGTCATCCTGGGCAACATAGAAACTTAAAATAAAAACTAAAAGGGACTGTGGATGCAGCTCAGTGGTAGAGCACCCCAGGATTCAATCCTCAGTACAACACACACACACACACACACACACACACACACACACACACACACATTGGAGATGAAATAGGAACCACCAATCAACAACCTATATTCTGATAAAAAATGTACTCAATGTATCAGAACATTATGTGGAACCAGAATTATATCATTTTTCTGGGGTTAGCATAAGAGGAAGTCAGGCAGGAAAGGACAGAAAGGTAGTAATTTTTTGAAACAGGGGATAGACCTCTGTCTCTAGATGTACAATTAGCATTTTTTACCTCCATTAACTATAGAAAGTTGGGGATAAACTCAATCTTGAGTTTCCACCAGTCACATTCTCAAAGTGCATTTTATTTAATTAAATAATCCCCCTTTATTTTTCAATATTTATAAATTCAACTATTTCACAGAATGCATTTGCATTATTATCCTTCAGAGCAGCTTACTAAGATTTATTTCTAACCAGTTGGGAACCTAGGTATTGCCTCATTGCTAAGCCTCGATGGAATGTTTATGGACATGTTTTATGATTTGCTAATCTGTGCTGTGAAACCATCAGTCTGTTTGCAGTGGGAAGGAGGTGGATGAGGGTAGGGGGAGGGAAAATCATTTTGTTTGATGTGTTGGTGGCAGAAGGGAGGGGAGGAAGGCTCATCGTGATGTTTGAACTAAAATGTACTTAAAAGATTCAGTTTTGAGGGCTAGGAATGTAACTCAGTGGTAAAGCACATGCTTAGCATGTGTGAGGCCCTGGGTTCGATGCCAGCCCTACAAGTAAAAAGGGTTCAGTTTTGACCCTTGCCAAAAAAAAAATCCACAATAAATGGATACTACTAGTAAACAGGTTTTCAGTGATCATACTTTATTTTCTTTCTTTTTTTGTTTTGTTTTGTTTTATATTTTTTTCCTCAGGGGAAGTCTCTCACATCCAAGAGGTTAACAAGCCTTGTTCAGTCTTACTAAATGGATCATCTTGTAGCATGGAAGCAGACTGGAATCATTGCACATACTTTGTAGCTTGTCATTGTTACCTGGATCAGAGGACATTAGACCAAGATGTTGCATGAATGAAGGACCTGAATTGTTCTATTTTGTGTGCACATTAAGGCATTTGCTATCTCCAAGGGACCCTATGCCATCTCGATGCCTCCATTTCAAACTGTTGTCTGCTTTCTTCCTCCTTCTATTCTACTAAGCTGGATCTGTGTCTTTTCCTTTTTAGCAAGTTTAAGTAAAGTAAAACTATTTTTTCCCTTTCTTTCTCTTAAAGCTTCTGCTAGACACACAGTTCACTAAAAATTCAGTCATTCACAAACTGGAAGAATTGTAAAAGAAAAAAAATAACATATATCAATAAGTATACATATGGCTTCACAATTATTAAACAATAAATTAGCACAGAAAGTTTCATGCCACTGATGTATTCAAGTCTGAAACAAGCTCATGTCTTTGTCTGATGTCTGTACATTCTCAGTTAATGTTTCTTGCATTTATTTTTATACCATATTTAAATAAGAAACACCTTTTACTCTAAATGTATCAAAGTTGAACCCTTCTCTGTAAATTTGTGTATGTTTATATTGTTGTTTTATCTTTCATTAAAAGATGCAGAATCTCCTTGCTTTCGAAACTTTTCTCTTCCCTACAACAGTAGAAGAAAAGGATGAGAATGCATTCATAGCCATAGATTTTCAATTTGGACTATCAATTTAGGCTAAATTTCAGAGTTTCAAGAACAACTTGGATGGTTACAGCAGCCAAGAGCAGATTAAAAGTCCTTCACCTCCAGGCCAGCCCAAACCAAGTAGATTGTTTTTCTCCCATTGAAAAGCAACACAAATTGGTCTTCCACATTTTCAGAACTATTTAAAGATGACTTTCTGCCTTGCTATGAATATACATTTCTATGTTTTACTAATTAACATTTCTGTTAGATTTAGGCTTCAGTGTGACTTCTCAAACAGGAACTGGTTTTTTAAGCACAATTCTAAAAATACCTATGGTCAGTGTTTTTCTTTTTTCTTTTAATTTTTTTTAGTTGTAGATGGACACAATACCATTTATTTATTTATTTATTTATTTATTTATTTATTTATTTTAATGTGGTGCTGAGGCGTAAACCCAGAGCCTCTCATGTGCTAGGCAATTGCTCTACCACTGAGCTATGGCCCAGCCCATAGTCAGTGTTTCTTAACTTTCTGACCTTACATATTCTTTTGAGAATAAGATATAATTATTAACATGTAGTGGGTGCCTGTCACTATATTATGGACTTACATAAATCCTCACATTTTATTCTCACAGAAGTCCCTTAAGATTACTTTTGCAGTCTTGAGAATATTGAAAAAGAGACAGGTCACAAGTATTGTTTGAAGTCACACAGCCAAGTGGTTGGGTAGAGATTAAAGTGAAGGAAAAATAATCTTTTCCTTCTACCCTTTCTAGGTTCTCAGCTGGGACTCTGTAATAAAAGACAGATTAACAAGAGAAAAGCATCCAACTTTACTTAATAGAAGATTTACATGATGGGAGACCTCATAAGGAAATGAGGACCTGAAGAAAATGGTTGAACTTGAGTGGTTTTATACTAGATTTGATAAAAAATGAAGAGTCATGGAAAAAATATGATGGGATAATGGGATGTGACCTAAGGGTGGTGGGGGGAGGGGGAACCCAGAATTCAAGACTTGATTGTTCAGATTCCTCTCAGCATTCTTTCATATTCATAGATAAGGATGTTCCTGTCCTTTGGATTAATGGAGGGCATAAGGATCTTATGACCTGACTCTGGAAAAGGTCAGAGTCTTTCCCATACCTGCTATTTCTAAAATCCTTCAGAATAAAATGCTCAATATGTCACATGATTACATGTTCAAACATCCCATCAGCAAACATCCAGACAGTATGACTTCAGGGCCCATTATACACCTGTCCATACCTCTTACTGTAACAGTGGTCCACTTTATGCTTTGAATATAGCCCTTGCTGCTCTGCCCCTAAGGCTTATCTTTTTTTTTTTAATTCTAATTTGTTACATATGACAGCAGAATGCATGACAATTTATATTACACATATAGAGCACAATTTTTCATATCTCTGGTTGTATACAAAGTAGATTTACACCATTCGTGTTTTCATACATGTATTTGGGCTTATCTTAAAACAGATGTTTTCTCCTCTCTCCCAAATTAACAAGTGAATCACACAGGCTGAACACCTGGAATAAATCACTTCTTTAAAAACCCTCTGCTCTTCCTGATGGGCAGAATCAAGGCCTCTGGGACAGGAGTCTCCTGTGCTTTTTGTTTGCTAGCAAAGCAATAAAACTACTTTTTCCCTTTTCTCAAAATTGTGTCCTCATTATTGAATTGACATCAGAGACAAGGACCTAGCATTAGGTCAATAACATTACTTCTTTTGGTAAAACTGTGCAAACCCATATACACTCTCACATAGGAAACACTTGTGCTAAATGTCAAAATATTCTCAGACTTAGTCCTGGAGCTCATCCATGGACCCTGGGTAAGAAAAAGTTCACTTCAAGGGTTGCTTGCATCAGTAACTCAAAATGTTGCCCAGCCAGGAGATGGGTCTAACCTCTTTGCTTCTGCTTATACCAAGACATTGCAGGCTCTGGCTATTTACAAACAAGATTAAGTTATTAGTGCTCACTAATTACTATCCATAAATTCAAATTCTGAAAAAGTTTTACCAACATTAGTGAAAAATCAGTAGGGAGTCTGTGAAACTAGTCTATAAAATTGTCACAAAATTGGAGAGACTCAATAGGAGAAATTTGTACATAGGCTATAACCTAAACACTGCAAGTGGATTAAGGAAGATTTAATTTTATGCTTACATGTTTTTTTAATAAAGACTGAATAAAATTAAAATTAAGTTAATGGACTTTCTCCCTTAAAAACACAATTCAGAATAGTCTGGCACAGATGGGACTGAAACTAGATGAAAACTCTAGTTAATAAAAACATTATTTAAAGGGAAACAGTAACCCTCTTAGGAAAACATGGTTTGTAAATAATGAGACTTGAACTTGAAAAAATATGATTGGCAATTTCAGTAGTTATCTTTCAAAAAATTGTCACTCCTTAGAAGTCCATTCTTATTGGCAATTCCAAATCATGAATCCATGCAGAGATGAAAGACAAAAGATTGGCAAAAGTCAGAAGAGAAGGGAAACCCTCAGGCAAGTATCTCTATGTGAGAAACTCCTAATAAAACATTTACTCAAGTTTCTGGGTTCAACTACATAAAAACTTTAATGACCTAGTTGACTCCATTTATTTGAGTCTAAATGATAACTTGAAAGTTTAAAAAGTAGTTTTGGAGTTCCTTGCAGTTAACTTCAATAAGCCCTCAGCAACTATCTCCCGCCCCACTCCAAGACCATAAAAAATACTCTCATGTTTCTACTGAATAAAATGGCTATTCAGAAGTCTTTTTCTTTTTACCTTTAGACCCCCTTTAAAGTTATCTTCCAATGACCCAGAGTTTCTGTACTCACATTTCAAAAATATTTAATGCATACTCTAAATTGCATTGAATGGAATTCTCCCCTTTGCAGTATTTCAACAATACTTTTTGTGGATTTGCAAAGAATTTTCTACTTGAATCAGAATAACAGAAATGTGGCCAGCCACCATATCAAAATTATATCCTGACAGGTTCCCAGAAAATAAATGAACCTTCCCTTGCTGTTGTATTACAAGTATCTAACTTGAACTTGTTAACTCAGGACTCACATAGCTTTGTCCTCATCCTCCTGGCTGAGTGCTTACTTCTCTTATATAATGGCTTGCAAATAATATTGGTATATTTATTGAGGAAGAAACAAATAGTAATTTTGGATAGGCAAGTCTTGGCTATTACCATGGTTTTATTCCATGTGGCACATGTGCTGATTGTTTCTATAAATAAGTATGGATTTGAAAAAGTACATACAAGTATCTCATAGGTTTGTTGTAAGACCATGCATTTGCATCTTTTCATTGGGAATTTTATACTCTAGAACTCACAAAAGCACCAAATAATGTATCAAACATTTAATGTAGTTATCTAAAAATCCCATTAAAACAAAAATTTGCATATATCATTGGATGTTTAGGGAAGTTTCCCTGGTGCTCATAACTTCATTTTCAAAAAGGTCATTAGTGGCTGGGTAGACACGAATACTTCTTAATTAATAAGTTGATTCATAAATCTTAATGTCTTTATTATGTTATAAGACCTTAAGCCTTGTTTGGAAATCCAATAAATCAGAGTGCATTTAATATCATCCTAAAGGTTAATAACATCTAACTCCAGTATTTAAAATAATGTATGCAAACCACCAGGCATAATTATTGCTACATAATTGGTAAAGAAATAATGTTCATATTAGTTTCTTCTATTTCTCCAAAAATTAATCTTTATAAAAAGATAAAATATGTTTCCAAATACCCTTCCCACCTGGTATGAGTCAAGGATAAATTTCACGAAACCAAAACTGAGTGGTGAATCAGGATATCAGAGACCTCAAGAAAGACCAAGAGTATAGGCAGAAGTGATGGAAGGCTGGGAACAAGATAGTGTCAATAAGCCTTTAGGACCAAAAGTGCTGATATTGGGCTAAGAGAAGGAGACCATTCTAAGGCAGTGGATTCTGGAAACTCCTCACCTGTGTAGAATAAAAAGTCTTAAGGGAACAAAATCAATCTGAGAGTAGTTAGTGGTAATAGGGCAGGGGTGAATTCACCTGTGTTAGTTTGATTTCTGCCAGTATGACAAAATACCTAAGATCAACTACTTATAAGGAGGAAAAGTTTATTTTGAGTCATGGTTTTAGTCCAAGGTCATTTAACCCTGTCACTTTGGGCTTGTGACTACACAATACATCATAGTAGGAGAACATGGTGGAAGAGGATTATTTGCCTCATAGTGGCCCAGAAAAAAAAGAGAGAGGGGGGCAGGGGCTGGATTCCAATATGCCCCCTTCAAGGTCATACTCCCAGTGACCTAATTTCCTCCTCAAAGGTCCCACCTCCAAAGGTTCCACCCTCCCAATGGCAACAAAGACTGGTCATCAAATATTTAGCAGATGGGCATTTGGAAAACATTTATGATTCAAACCACAACACACCCTATCTTTCTCAGTTCAGGGCATCCAAAGGTATTTTTGTCTGTACCCAAAATAAAAGTACAGGAACTTCTTTCTTCTCTACACACAAGTTACCAGGGATCTCTCTAAGTGCATAGGGAAGATGGTATTACCCCACAGGAAGACTGAATGATTGGCCTGGGAAGTCTTGTAGACCTACAGCCTATTGATTCCAAGATTTAATGGCTGGGATGTTTGTATGAGCTCTGAAATCCAGGATGGGCAGGGGTGTGGGAAGCCATCCTGACACGTGACTGGGCGACTCCCGGTTTGGGTCTGAGGCTTCTGGCTGTGTCGGAATTTTCCCGGCCCTCTCCTGATGAAAGAACCCGTCCGTGTGGGGGTGTGACTGACCACTGACCCCGGGGGCCCAATCACTGACCCTGACCTTGGAGTGCAGTCCCCCCTCAACCTTCATTGGATGGAATTCTCCCCTGAATTTCTTGTTCCCCAATAAAAGGCTACTCCCTGGCGTGTTCACTCTCTCTCTCTCCTGCTAGCCCTGAGTAATCCTTGCTGCCCTGCTGGGCGGTTAGAGGTCGGAGCCAGAGAGGGGAGCTGTCTCGGACCTGGCAATAGAAATAAGGTAACTGAGTCTGTGTGTTTTATTTCGATCTCTTCTAGCTAACTTTTATGCCAAGAACCTCATTAATGAAACCATTGCGCAGGCCGCATGGTGGACAGGGGTTTAACTCATATGGTAACTGAGCATTTGGCAGGTGACATAGTAATATACAGGTTAGGGAAAACTCAATTTGTCATGTAGAATATCCAGAAACATTGCCTCAAGTCCACAGATTTTGAGTTAGCTCCATGGGAGGTACAACTAGGTATACAAATACATTCCTCACATGCAATTTGGTTGCAGTTTACATGCCCTGACCCTTTGACCTGCAAACAAATTACTGACTTGAAAAGCAACTGCATTGCTCATTGTCTGTCCCTGGCCTCCAAACATCTCCAAACTCTCTAACTGTGTCAATTATAAAAACCATTTTTGTACTTCTTTTTCATAGTAAACCTTAAAGCACGAGAGTCACTGGGAAGCATCTCAGCTTCCTCTGGAATACAAAGGTATAATATTTAGAAGGGCACATTAATCACATTGTGAAAATTCCCATTCTTCAAATGGCAATGGTTTTAAAAGTTTTGAAAATAACAAACATGTACCTTAAATAAGAAGGCAATTTTCTATAAGGGCATAACCAAAGGCTTCATTTGGTAATTGTCAGAAAATAAAATCACTTGATATGGAAATAAGGCATAGATCCAAGCAGAATGTGCAGGAGCAGTGGCCTCTCATATCTTATAGTTGTAGACTCGATTAACATTACCTTCCAGTTGTTCAGGATGGAAATACAATATTTTCCCATGAACAGAGACTATATGGCCTTGCACACTTTCCATGGTCACTCACTAAAGAACTGAGCCATTTCCAATGACCAACGTTTTCAGTGTCATCCTCCATACATGTAGGGAAGTGGAGTCATCACATTATCAGTGCAGAGCAGGAAATATATTGCTTATGCTGGAGCATTCCCTGAACCTAATACATACATGATGGCCTGGGCCTGAGATACAGGCAATGATAGAAACATGGAGAAAATGTGTGGAATGTGAGCTCACAAAAGAAGAATAATTCAAATTATGAAGATAAACGTTGTGAAAGATATTTGGAAGAGGTTACACCAAAGGAAATTGATTAGATCAGATCAATCTGAAAAGTATCTCAAAATAAGTATATTTAAATCGTTAAAGTGATAGAAGATGAACACATGAAACAGAATATTATGGTTTGGATCTGAACTGTACCTTAAAAAGCGTCTGTTAATTCAGCAATATTTGGAAATGAAATGTTTGGATTATAAGAGTTGGAACCTAATAAGTCCGTCCTAGTTTGAATGAACTGGGTGATAACCATAGGCAGACGGTACATAGTTGGTAGAGGTGGGTCACGAGGTCATGCTCTAGATGGGTGAATCTTCCCTATGGTACTTTCCCCTTCCTTCTCTCTGATTCCCGACCCTGGCCAGTAGCTAAGCAACTCTTCTCCACTGGGCCCTTTTACCACTGTGTGCTTTTATATCTTGGGCCCATAGCAATGGAGTTGGCCAACTATGTATTGAAACCTCTGAAACCGTGAGCCCCAAATAAACTTTTCCTCCCCTAAATTGTTCTTGCTAGTATTTTAGTCA